AGTCAAAAATTGGTTTGAAGTCTGGACAGTTTCTTTGTAGCTGGTACAAGGTTTGACGTGTTGGTAACATCTCATCAGGATCTTTAACTTGGTCCTCATCAATAGCTAGAACTTCCGGGATTCGGATGCTGTTTTGCCAGCCAAACTCAAAGGTGACTGCTATATGTTCCTTTCTTTCAGCATGTAGTGAACCAATCTCTGGAAGGTCATCATCAGATTGGTATTCCTTGTCTTGGCTATCTACAGGATAATCTCTTCGTGACAATGCATCAGCATTTTGGTTCTGGGTACCTGGTCTATGAATAATGTCGAAAGTGTACTGCTGTAGAAACAATGACCAACGCCCAAGTCGTCCAGTAGCATCTTTTGAATTATTTAGCCATCGCACGGTTATACTATCAGTGTAAACTGTAAACTGATTGTTTGCTATATACGGTTTGAAAGTTTTTATAGCTTCAATTAGAGCTAACCCTTCTTTGTGATTGATATGCCAACGTTTTTCTTGATCTCTTAAACCTCTACCTCCATATGCAATAACTTTTTCTAGTCCTTCATGATCTTTTTGACCTAATACATAACCAATTGCTGAATCTGACGCATCTATTGACAGGAAAAACTCTTTTTCAAAATCAGGAAATGCAAGAATTGGTGCAGTTGTCAGTTTTTGTTTTAATGTATTGAATGCATCATCTTGTTTTGTTGTCCAATCAAATTTTACATCTTTCTTTAATAGTGTTGTAAGAGAGGAACAAATTTTACTGTAGTTTTGAATAAACTTTCTGTAATAGTTGCACATACCCAGAAAGCTACGTAGTTGTTTGACTGTTTTTGGTATGGGATATTCAGAAACTGCAACTGTTTTAGATTTGTCAACCTGTATGCCATGTTCAGAGATAATGTGTCCTAAATATTTAACTTGTTTTGCGGCAAAATGACATTTGGAGGGTTGTAAAGTTAATTTTGCTTGTTTTAGTTTTTGAAATACCAGATTTAAATGTTCCAGATGTTCATTAAAGTTTTTGGAAAACACTAATATGTCATCTATGTATATAAGTGCAACCTTCCAATTTAGTTCTTGTAAGACTTTAGTCATTAACATTTGAAATGTTGCAGGTGCATTTGTTAAACCAAAACACAATCTCTTAAATTGGTATTGACCTTGTGGTGTCATGAAAGCTGTTTTGTGTTTTGACTGTTCATCAAGTGGCACCTGATGAAATCCGCTAGCAAGATCAAGCGAACTGAAAATTTTAGCTCTTGAATAGCCAACTGTATCAACAACCTCTTCTATTTTAGGAATTGAGAAAGAAACTTTTTTAGTGACCTCATTCAATTTTCTGAAGTCTAAAACGAATCTGTATGTATTGTTTGGTTTTTTCACTAAGATTACACTGCTATGGTAAGGAGACATTGATTCTTCTATGATGTCATTTTCTTTGAGATTTTTGATTTGTGTCTCTATAACTTCTTGCATTTTTGGTGAATATTGAAACCGTTTAGATCTAACTGGTGCTTCATTTGTTGTTTCAATGTTGTGATAATGCAGGTCTGTTTTGCCTAATTCAGAAGCATCTTTTGCGAAAACACACCTATTTGTTCCTATTAATTTTAGAAGTTTTTGATGTTGCTCTTTTGTTATGTTAACCGAATCAATTTGAGCATTAAGATTTAATGCCTCTTTAATGGGGTCTTGAAATTGAACATCAGATTTTGAATTGTTATCTAAGGCACAGATTGGTTTTGTGGGTGATTTCCAAACTTTTGAAATTGGTGAATTTGCCTTTATAACAATGTCTTCATTTGTTGGATTTAGCACTCTGTAATAGACTTTTGCATCTTTGACTAGACTGAGACAATTAGAACCTAATATTTGTCTGTTCATCAAATTATCGTGTGGCTCTAACAGCACTGTTGTATTTGTTGGGAATTTATTGATGGAAAGTTGAATATCATTTTCTGTATATGCTTTTAAAGTGAGTGTTTTGTTTGTTTTTGCAATGAAGTATCTCTCTAAATTCTTTCCAGACTCTAAGGCAGCAATAGTAAAATGATCATGAAATGAAACAATACGATTCGAAAAATTTATGTTTGCCTTATGAGTAGTCAAAAAATCTTGACCAAGGATTAAGTGAAATCCAACATCTCTTAAAATATAAAAAGAAAAGGGCATAACTAATTCATTGACATCTATGTCCAAATCAATTTTCCCTTTAACATTATGTACAGTATTACATACTCCACGAATTTCATGTAAATCTGTAATATTTATGTCTGGTAATTCTTATTTATAAAATGCCCTTCTAAGAAGTTGCTCATTAATAACAGAGATTGTAGCACCAGAATCTACAAGAGCATTAATATAAATATTACCTAACTTAACTCTTATCTTATTATTATTTACAATAGCTGTTTCTACATTAGCCATGAAGTTGTTTTTGAACTCAAAAGACTTTGCCATTTTAATAATATAATATTAGACTTCAGGAGGGATGAGAAATATAAGCCTTATCACTTATCAGACCTAATTATATGTTCAATAAATTAAATAATTATTATTATATAAAGTGTCACAGGTGATTTAATACTAGGCTGTACTCACCCTCTGCAGTTACCAAGGAATAAGTAAATAGTTAAATTCCTATACGGTTTCCTGTCCTGGAGGTCTTCTATATTATGGCACTAGTCTTTAAAGTTCAGAGAGCATCTTCTTCACGGGAAACAAAACCGGGTCCTCGAACCACTCTATGACCGGACTGGATCGCATGTCAATAAGTGGGGGAACTAGCTGACATTCTGCGACCCAGTTCTGATCATATTATTTTGTAAGGGAACTAACTCTGAATAGTGATGGTAGAGCATAGGTAACGCATTGTCTGGTTTACTTTAATTTACCGCACAAGAAGTCAATAAAACACTAAGTTTGATGATTGTATATTAATTATTCTCGAACAGATAAGCATTCATAATTACAACACAAGTCATACATGTATACGAATATGCGACTAAGTCACCATGATGTGAACAAAGCCTGAAATTCTCTCATCCTCTAAATTACACAAAGTTAATATATATCCATGTCCCTTTCTAAACCCATTCTCCCAAATCTCAATAATCATTTAATGTATATCCTAGTTACTTGACCAATCAAAATACATAACTCCCAAAAAGGGGAGGGTAATCATTTTAATTCTGACTTTTGAACATATGGTGCCTTAGATACCTTTTTATCAATTACAATGTAAAGTTAAAGTATGAATTTTGTAACTAAAATATAACACTTCTATTGTATTTTATCTTAAATAGGAAATAGCTAATTACAGTCTTATTGTAATATTTTGAAGGTGCTAATAGCTTTACCTCAAGTTTACCTTAATCCCTAATCCAGAATTAAGAAAGACAGTCTAATTATGTTTTCTTTGAGATGTGAATTATAATTTATTTGCAATAAGCCCTTACTGAGTTTTGACATGTTGATATTCTAACACTTTAATTCATCCTAAAAGTAATAAAGAAAATATAGATTTATTTAATATTTTAAACAAAACTATTCAAAAATATTGCTAAGGAAAAATACCTCATTTTTCCTTGGTGATACATACAACAAATATAGTTGATCTATTGCTTATAGTTGAAGAAAAACAGACCAAAACACAAAAACTTAACACTGAGAAATGAACCGTGAAAATGAGGTCAAGGTCAAATAAAACCTGCGAGACTGACATGTACATCATAAAATATTTCCATACACCAAATATAGTTGACCTATTGCCTATAGTATTAGAAAAAAAGACCAAAACTAAAAAACTTAACTTTGACCACTGAACCATGAAAATGAGGTCAAGGTCAGATGACACCTACCTGTTGGACATGTACACCTTACAATCATTCCATATACCAAATATAGTAGACCTACTGCTTATAGTATCTGATATATGGACTTGACCACGAAAACTTAACCTTGTTCACTGATCCATGAAATGAGGTCGAGGTCAAATGAAAATTGTCTGACAGGCATGAGGACCTTGCAAGGTACGCACAAACTAAATATAGTTATCCTATTACTCATAACAAGAAAGAAATTAACATTACAAAAAATGTTGACTTTTTTTTTCAAGTAGTCACTGAACCATGAAAATGAGGTCAAGGACAATGGACATATGACAGACGGAAACTTCGTAACATAAGGCATCTATATACAAAGTATGAAGCATCCAAGTCTTTTAGCTTCTAGCTTCTAAAATATAAAGCTTTTAAGAAGTTGGCTAACGCCGCCGCCACTGCCGCCGAATCACTATCCCTATGTCGAGCTTTCTGCGACAAAAGTCGCAGGCTCGACAAAAACTAGGAATTCATAATAATTCAAGATTTCATGGATACAGGTAAACCACAAATTTAAATGTTCAATGGAGTACACATTTTCTAGACTTTGGTAAATCCACAAAATCAGATATCCACAAAAATACATGTTTTCCTAAATCCACAAACATAGATGCACCTACAGTACATGACAACAACACGAATACAGGAACATTTTTTTTAGTAATTACAACACAAATTCAGGGAAATAATGTAATGACAACACACACATACAGGGAAATAATGTAATAACAACACACAAATATAGAAACTCCATAAATCATCTGACCCTAACATCTCTGGAAAATTCAAAAATCAAATAACCGTAGTTGTACTTAAAAGTTAATCAGATCATAACCTGAAGACAACATCAATACAAATAATTGTAATTTTTGTGGGTAAAAAATACATGAAGAGAAGATCAATTAGTTAACTTAAACATAATGCTTTATTGAAATTTCAATTATTTATTCATCATTAATAAAGTGTAAAATATAAAAATTGACTTGGATTTAAAAACATGTTATATATAATATATTAAAACATAGGTTTACAAGAAGTAAATAAATACATGATATACCGGGGTATGATCATATATGTGTACATAAACATTTGAATTTCTGTTGTCTACATTTATTTTTCAGTGTTGGCCATTCAAAATGCTGGTATTTTTCTGTATTGTTATATCTACATTATTATGCATACCTATGTTGATGCGATATTGGATTAAACAGCGATCAAAGAATTTACTACCACACTTAAGGAAAAAAGGGGAGATAACTGTTGGATTTTTCCATCCATATTGTAATGCTGGTGGAGGAGGAGAAAGGGTACTATGGACAGCTATCAGAGCTTTACAGACCAGGTAACTATGGACAGCTATCAGAGCTTTACAGAACATTCACTTCATGTATGGACAGCTATCAGAGCTTTACAGAACAGGTAACTATGGACAGCTATCAGAGCTTTACAGAACAGGTAACTATGGACAGCTGTCAGAGCTTTACAGAACAGGCAACTATGGACAGCTATCAGAGCTTTACAGAACATGCAACTATGGATAGCTATCAGAGCTTTACAGAACAGGTCACTACATGTATGGACAGCTACATGTATCAGAGCTTTACAGAACAGGTAACTATGGACAGCTATCAGAATATTACAGAACAGGTAACCAGGGACAGCTATCTTTGCTTTACATAGCAGGTTACTAGGGACAGCTATCCGAGCTTTACAGAACAGGTAACTAGTTACAGCTTTCAGAGCTTACAGGTTAGGTTACTATGGACAGCTATCAGAGCTTTACAGAACAGGTTACAATCTCACACATATGATATTTAGCTTTCAATGAAAATTGTCCATAAATTTAAAAAAAAAGAGACAGAATAAAAGTTTGTCATTGCTACTATTAATAATGACTACTGCTATTACAACAAAAAATAAGGACAAAATATTAAACCCAAAAAATTGTTTAAATGCTGTTAAATCCGGGGCCAATTACATCAAAAACATTGAAACTATGTGATGCTCATTTATTATTATGGCTAATGGTCCCTACTAATACATATTTATTGTTTTACTTTTGTCACCAACATTAATGTTGAATCCTGCTTTGTACTTGGCCTGACATGGTTAGCAGATTTTAAACCAGCATGTTCACAAGGTAACAGTATAGATCAAAGGACATCATATACTAAGATGATTCAGTATGGCATAGAAGGAAAATATTGAATAGGATTGCAAAAGTTTGAATCACTTGATTTTAACTTATCAATGTATTTCAAAGCAGTAACACAAGGGCTGTCACATGTGGAACAGGATCTTCTTACCCTTCTGGAGCACCTGAGATCATCCCCTCGTTTTGGTGGGGTTCGTGTTGCTCAGTCTTAAGTTTTCTATGTTGTGTTATGTATTTTTTGGTCGTTTTGGTCATTTTCATTTTTTTTGCCATGGCGTTGTCTATTTGTCTTGGACTTATCAGTTTGAATATCCTCATGGTATCTTCGACTTCTCTTTTGGATATGAATATTTGTTTGTAATATTGTCTACAATCAAAAGTCTTATTTATATACCTTCTAGATCTATATTGGTTTGACCCAAGTACTGAAATTGATTAATAGAAATTAGTCATTGTTCCTGTTAGCTTCTTCTTCTGTCAACAATGAGGCCTTAAACCTCATTTCATACAAGGTATTGTGAAATATTTGTGTTTAATGTGAACTGTGTTTTCTTGTTTTTACAGATATCCCAGAATTCAATGTATTGTTTACACAGGAGATACTGAAGCCACTGGATCAGACATAATACAGAGGGCCAAACAGAGGTTTAACATCAGTATCACCTCTCCAGTACAATTTGTTTTTCTTACAAAAAGATATTTGGTAGAAGCTCAGAAGTATCCATACTTTACATTGCTAGGACAAAGTTTAGGGTCTATGCTGTTAGGATGGGAAGCTCTAATGAAATATGTTCCGGATGTTTATATTGATAGTATGGGATATGCCTTTACACTACCATTATTTAAGTATTTAGGAGGATGTAAGACAGTTAGTTATGTTCATTATCCTACCATCAGTACTGACATGTTACAACGTGTATCAGATAGAACTCAATCACACAATAACTCTTCATTCATCTCACGAAGTGCCACACTTAGCTGGGCTAAATCTCACTACTATAAAATGTTTGCATGCTTGTATGGAATAATGGGTAGGCGTTCAGACAAAGTCATGGTGAATTCTACATGGACATTTAATCACATTCAAAGGCTATGGAAAGTTGCAGACAGAACATACATCATTTATCCTCCCTGTGATATTTCAGAGTTTACCAAAATTCCTCTGACAAACTGTCATGTGCAGAAAACAATAGTGTCTATTGCTCAGTTTAGACCAGAAAAGGATCATGGTTTGCAAATACGATCGTTTTCTAATTTTCTGAAAAGTCATACAAAAGATAAACAGATTTACAAGCTACTTTTAGTTGGAAGTTGTCGTAACGAAGGAGACTCAACAAGAGTGAAAGAACTGAGAGATTTATGTACCCTGTTAAACATTGAAGATAATGTAGAATTTAAGTTAAATGTTAGTTTTGAGGAGCTTAAAGATTTGATGTCAACTTCTCTGATAGGAATTCATACTATGTGGAATGAACATTTTGGCATAGGTAAATACCAGTATTATATTGACCAAACTGAATTGGGAAAAAAATTTCCATTTCTCAAATTTAAACATTTTAAATCAAAACTAATTTGAACATGTTGTGTTTTTTTTTTTTATTCTTGTTTCAAAATTCCAATAGGGAACACATATAACATTGAACTAATCAAACAAACCATTTTTATACGCCCGTTTACGGGACGTATTATGGTATACGGTTGTCCGTCTGTCTGTCCGTCCGTCGTCAACATGTCGGACAATAACTCAAAAACGCTTTAACCAATCTGCATGAAACTTTGGTGAATTGTTTATATCTATTGACGTGAGCTCCCTTTCGTTTTTTATAAATTTTAGATTTTAAGTTTCCAAGTTATGGGGTTTTATTCATTAAAAAAGGGGGATTTTCCAGTTTTTGGACAATAACTCAAAAATACTTTCACCAATTTGCAAGAAACTTTGGTGAATTATTCATATCTATTGACATGAGCTCCTTTTCGAAAAAAAAGGTCAGTGGCCGAAACGTCCCAAAAATGGTTTCTGTTCTCTAACTTTAGTTTGCCTCAACCAAATGTTATGAAACATATACACAATGTTTATTACCACAAAACACAGATCATGATTGAATTTTGGTGGCGTCACTTTTACTGTTCTAGAGTTATGCCCTTTTACAAATGGAAAAATTGCTGAATTTTTCGTTTCTGTTCTCTTTCTTAAGTTTGCCTCAACCAAATGATATGAGACTTATACAAAATGCTTAATACTACAAAACTCTGATCAAGTACAAATTTGGGTTGTGTCACTTCTACGGTTCTTGAGTTATGTCCCTTTATAATGTTATATGCAAGCAGGGGTATTATCTGTGTCCCATGGACACATTCCCTATTTATTTTTAAACAAATTATCTTGGAAAAATGTACAAAATAGTGAATCCTCATTAGCAGTTTGCATTGCCTATTTATTTGTTAACCACTTAATAATAACAAAGTTTTGAAGTGGTAATTCCAGGTATAGCACTTAGGTCCAAGGCACTATAATATATGTGATAGTACATGTATATAAAGTCATATATTTTTTTACTTCATATTAAAAAAAAAGTTTAATATGTTTTATTTATTTGAATGGCTAAGTTTTACTATAAAACATGTGTACACAGACTTTGAAAGAAAATCTTTTATCTTATCAAAATCTTCAGCAATGTACTGGTATTGAAATATAAAAATATATAAAAAAGATAAACATCCCTCTATATCATGTCTATCAGCTCACTTATTAGTCCCCTACCGACGAAGTCGAAGGGGACTTTAGGTTTGCACTCTGTCCATCTGTCTGTCCGTCTGTCTGTCCTTCTGTCAGTCCGGCAAATCAGCTTTCCACACTTTTTTCTTCATGCTTGAAGATATTGATTTGATATTTGGTATATTGTTTTATCATGACAAGTTTCAGATCAAGTTCGAATTTTGTTCCGGTCTGATAATTTAGTCCAGAGTTATGGACCATATCTAATGTTAGAGTACTATGTTAAACCATATTTCTGTACAAAGGGAGATAACTCATTTTTTAAAAGACATTCATTGTTAAATTATTTGAAGAATTTTTTAGCAGGTTTGTTTGTTATTTAGTATAAACTAATTTTCTGAATGCTATATATATATAAAGAAAAATTTATGAAGCGAAATCCTTTAATTAGATAATAATTTATTTTTATTAATGTATATATTTCAATACATTACATTGTGTAGATAAATGTTGTTGACATTTTATAGGTAAGTTACAAATCTATATTAGTTTGTGACAAATGAAAGAAAAAATATTTGGAACTATTAATTATATTTGATTATAATTTGAAAATAGATATACACTGTATTACATCATATCTAATTTTAGAGAACTATTAAACATATCTAATGTTTTTTTCACTCATAAAATCAGTTTTCCACACTGTTTTTAGTCATGCTTGAAGATATTGACATGATATTTACTTTTTGTTTACACCATGACAAGTTATAGAACAAGTTAGCATTTTGTTCCATTAAAACGAATTTTTACCTGGTAGGGGACTATGTATTGCCATGCAATACTCTCAGAATGCTTGTTATTCATGTGATTCATGATTCTGTGTTGATTGTTTATTAAGATCACGATTGGGAAACTTTGGCATTAAAACCAGAAAGTTAATTAGTAGGCAAATTTTCACTGAATGAAATATATTTTGTCAATTATATGTTATTGATTCTGAATAAATGTTAAAAATCGTGCATAAAGGACTTAGTTTAGTATATATACATGCATTGGTTCAATTATTTCCTTAACATTATAATTTCAAGAAACTCATTTCATAAGACTTTAATTAAGTGACAAGCATGTAATTTTACGCTTTTCCCTCTGGCTGTTTTCCCCTAATTTTTAATGTCTTCATTTTTCTTCAGAATTTGAATTCAGTTAACAGAGACTATTATTAGACATCTACCATTAACACAAAATTCCCTAAATGTCGGAAATATTAAGATATTTTTTTAACTCACTTTGTTTTTTTATGGTTGGCTTTTCAAAATTTTACTGAATGACTCTGTGATATTCAATTTGGAAATGTTTAGTTTTTATATATGCCTGTTGAATTCCATAGTCCTTCCATCCATTCGTCCGTCAACACTTTGTATGAGAACTCAAATTTGCTTTAACCATTTCTCAATGTACTTTTAACACAACATTAGGATTAACCGAAGAAAATTCTATTGATTTCAAAATTTTTTGGCTTTGTTGTATCAAGAGTTACAGGACTTTAAACCATTAGATTTAAGGCAATTTTATTTTACTCCAGTATTTCCTGTATTGATTATTCAAGGCTTTACATAATTGTTGGGATTGATAAAAGAAAGCTTTAATATTTTTTACAAAAAAGAAGCAAATTTTTCACATGTTGTACCATAACTTAAGTTACTTAGATTGATATACTGGAAACTTTACATAATTGTAGGAATTGGTGAACATAACAATGTTTGATGAAAGAAAAAAATTCTGATATTTCATTTCAGAGTTGTTGGACTTTGCATTGGCTTTCAGATAAAAAAAACACATTTTTTAAATGTCATGCACTATCTCTAGTATGCTTGGATCAAATTATTACAAACTTAACACTTGGGATTGGTGAATATAGACTTGTTTTTGATTTTTGAAAACTTTCTGGTTTTTCATTCCAGAGCTTTCACAGACATATTTGATGCAATATTTATATACGCCCAAGGGTTAATGGTACATGTACATGTATCCTCATGCATGTTTCATTTTATTTGCTTATGATTCAATGCCTTCTAAATATTCCTTTTTTTCTTGCAACAATTTCAAAATGCACAATAAGGGTGTATCAAGCTGCTAATTATTTGTGGTCTTAAAGAATAATACATGCATATTAATTGTTAAGATACATAAACAGAATGTGAGGTTATGACTTTTTCAGGAGTTGTGGAGTTAATGGCAGCAGGAACTATTATATTGGCCCATAATTCTGGTGGCCCAAAGCTTGATATTGTCACAGACTATAATCACCAAAAGACAGGATACCTGGCAGCTGATGAAGATTCATATGCTGCAGCCATGGAAACGATATTTAATTTGAAAGATGAGGAAAGACTGGTCATTAGACAAAATGCTAGACTATCTGTAGAAAGGTTCAGTGAAGGTGAATTTGAAAGAGGATTTTTGATGGTGTGTGAATCCTTTTTAGTAAAAAATCTATGAATTATCTCCATAATTCCTGATAATTCTTTACATTGATTGTCTTTACTAATGCCATTTTGAAAATCTTCTTAAATATTTTTTTCCTATTTAAAGCAAGAAGAAAAGAAAATGTGATGGTAAAAGTCAATGAGAAAACAATACAACAATACAGTTGATTAAAAAGTCATCCTAATCTCGCATTGCAATCTACAAGATGCTATATGACTTCCTGTCCCCTTAGTCTACTTGTGAAAATATTCAAAAAGTCTAAAGCAGTTCCTAAGACTTAAATCAATCAAAGCACTATTCCTTTATTGAAAACATACAGTTCAAATCACAAAACAATACTTATCATCCAGCTGATTTGTGCATATTTTTAGAAGAATTATGGGTTTGATGATAAAAGCATCAAACTTTGCACAATTGTAGATATATGTTTGGTTGTCAATTTAAGCTATGAACCCACTCTGAAAAATCCAATATTGTGGCAATTTTCAATATGTCTGCCAATCAGTCCAAATTTCACAACCATGTATAATTAAAAGCAAATAATATTCAAACAAAATGTTTTAAAAACATATAAAATGTAATCTAACGTTTCTAGTAAGTCATAACGTTATATTAGACTTTTCATTTTTTTTTCCTTCTAAATGGCGGAAAATTTCAAAATGGCCGCCAAAAGTGAAAATAAACAAACTAAGACAAGGCTTTGCTGATATTACTTCCATTGAATTGCATTTTGCAGTTCATACAATATTCTAGGAATTGCATTTCCATAATATATGGACGGTGCTTGCAAGACAATTTAAGCAGATATCCCATAAATTGTAACATTCGAACGTTTTCAGGACGCCATCAGGATTTGTTTGACCGTTAAGTACCATCTGAGTCACAAATGATAATAGATATGTACCACTTATCCTTGCCACAATCCTTTCTTTTTCATTGATTGTGGTAACGTCAGGATGATCAATCAAAATGACTAATCGCCAAATTTCTATTTGCAATGAGTAACATCACGAGTGCGACTAGTTAGCTAGAAACTCAGTGATACAACCTTTGGGAACACCGGCGTTGACCCCTAGTTTTGATGAAAAAGGACTTGTGTTGTTTATACTTTCAATGTTGTGTTATTTGTTCTTTATTTTTCAATGTCTGTGTTGTCAACCAGTGAAAGTTTTTATTATCCATCGTACAGGCACAGGAAACCTTAGGGAACGACCATTTAACTTCAAGGGGGTTATGGTTTTTTCCTAAAAAAATATTGTGGTCTCCCCAATTTGATGAACGAAAAATATCGTGGTCAAGCAGATGACAAAAAAAAATATTCTGAATCCAGATTTTCTTCATACCTTATAATAGTGTTAAATTTAGAATAAAATAATTTGATTGATAGCGTCGAAAAACTAAAAAAAAAATGTTCTGACTCAGACAAAAAACCATAACCACCCCTTGAAGTTAAATGGTTGCTCCCTTATTTGATTTCAAACGTTCACATTTGGTCAAGTTTTATATAATTTACATGTACCAATGGTTTTTATACGACCGCAAAAAAATTTTTGTGGTCGTATATTGGTATGACGTTGGCATCGTCATCGTCGTTGTTGTTGTTGTCGTCGTCCTGCGTCGTCCGAAGACACATTGGTTTTCGCACTCTAACTTTAGTTTAAGTGAATGGATCTCTATGAAATTTTACCACAAGGTTCAATACCACAAAAGTAAGGTTGGGATTGATTTTGGGGGTTATGGTACCAACATTAAAGGAATTAGGGGCCAAAAAGGGGCCAAAAATAAGCATTTTTGTAACTTCCAGACAAAACTTGTGTGTTAGTGTATGGATCTCTCTGACATTGTACCACAAGGTTCCATATCACAAAGGGAAAGCTGGAATTGAGTTTGGGGGTAATTGCCGAAACGTTTAGGAATTGGGGGCCAAAAAGGGACCAAAAAAAAGCATTTTTCTAGTTTCCAGACAATAACTTGTGTTCAAGTGTATGGATCTCTCTGAAATTGTACTGCAAGGTACCATACCACAAAGGGAAGGCTGGGATTGATGATGGGGGTAATTGCCTCAATATTTTAGGAATTAGGGGCCAAAAAGGGGCAAAAAACAAGCATTTTTCTAGTTTCAGGACAATAACTTGTGTGTAAGTGTATGGATCTTTCTGAAATTGTACTACAAGGTTCCATATCACAAAGGGAAAGCTGGGTTTGAGTTTGGGGGTAATTGCCCTAAACGTTTAAGAATTCGCGGCCAAAAAACACATTTTTCTAGTTTCCAGACAATAACTTGTGTTCAAGTGTATTGATCTCTCTGAAATTGTACTGCAAGGTACCATACCACAAAGGGAAGGCTGGGATTGAGTTTGGGGGTGATGAATCATAAGGGGGTACAAAAAATTTGGGGGGGGATTTTTTTTTTTTCCTTTTTTTTTTCTTTTAAAATTTTCCATTTTAAGTTGGTTATTTCTGATTTATATTTAAAAGCAAATAATAATGATATGGTAGGAGATACACACCAAACAGGATGTTTAAATTATTATATAATAAGTATTGTGCAATAGCAAGAAATTTTCAATTGCACAGTATTGCACAATAGCAAGAAATCTTCAATTGCACAGTATTGCGCAATAGCAAGAAATCTTCAATTGCATAGTATTGCACAATAGCAAGAAATATCCAATAGCACAATATTGCGCAATAGCAAGAAATTGTCAATTGTACAGTATTGCGCAATAGCAAGAAATATTTAATTGCACAGTATTGTGCAAAAGAAGATACTTCGTATAAATTGCTTATTTCTTGACCAATTTCAATGGGGTTTTATTCTTGAATTCTTGGGGTTCTTTAATATGCTGAATCTAACCGTGTATTTAGTTTTTGTATTTTGGGCCCCGTTTTATAATTGGTCCACATTGAGGTCCAAAGGGTCCAAAATTAAACTTTGTTTGATTTCATCAAAAATTGAATTATTGGGGTTCTTTGATATGCCGAATCTAACCGTGTATTTAGATTCTTAATTTTTGGTTCTGTTTTCAAATTGGTCTACATTAAGGTCCAAAGGGTCCAAAATTAAACTTAGTTTGATTTTAACAAAAATTGAATTCTTAGGGTTCTTTGATATGCTGAATCTAAACATGTATTTAGATTTTTGATTATGGGCCCAGTTTTCAAGTTGGTCCAAATCGGGGTCCAAAATTAAACTTTGTTTGATTTCAACAAAAATTACGGGGTTCTTTGATATGCTGAATCTAACCATGTATTTAGATTTTTGATTTTTGGGCCCTGTTATCAACTTTGTCCACATTGAGGTCAAAAGGGTCCAAAATTAAACTTTGTTTGATTTCATCAAAAATTGAATTCTTGGGGTTCTTTGATATGCTGAATCTAACCATGTATTTAGATTTTGGATATTGGACCATAATAGGTGAATGTCCAATTTAAAATTTTAAGTTCTTAGACCACATTCATTCTGTGTCAGAAACCTATGCTGTGTCAAATATTTAATCACAATCCAAATGCAAAGCTGTATCAAGCTTGAATGTTGTGTCCATACTTGCCCCAACTGTTCAGGGTTCGACCTCTGCGGTCATATCAAGCTACGCCCTGCGGAGCATTTTATTACATGTTGGATTGTATTCATGGAATGTCAAATTGCTGTGATAGATTTGATCTTTTCCTGGAACATTGGTCAATGCCGACTTATATATAATAAAATGCTTCGCTGCGCGCAGCCTGATATGACTGCAGAGGTCGAACCCTGAACAGTTAGGGCAAATTTGGATATAATATTCAAGCTTGATACTGTCTGAATTTTGATTGTGATCAAATTTTTGACGTAATATAGGTTTCTGACACAAAATAAATGTGGTAAAAGATCTTACAAATCTATTGCGCAATACTGTGCAATTGAAGATTACTTCTTGAAACTTTTACAAAATTTGAAATTTGAAAATTTTTGAAAAAAATATGAATTCCGTAAACAAATTGGTAACCCCCCTCCCCCCCCCCCCCCCCCCCCCCCCCCCCCCCCCCCGCGACTTTTGGAATCCCCCCTTGGAGCAATTACCCCAAGACTCGGAAACTACAAAAATTGTTGTTTTTGGCCCCTTTTAGGCCCTTAATTCCTAAACTGTTTGCTCCATAACTCCTAATATGAATCCCAACCTTCTACTTGTATTAAACATTGTTGTACAATTTCAGAGCAATCGAAATACTTAAGTTATTATCCTGAAACTAGAAAAATGTTTGTTTTGGTCCCCTTTTGGGCCCCTAATTCCTAAACGGTTGGGATCATCATCCTCAAAATCAATCCCAACTTTCCTTTTGTGGTATTGAACCTTCTGAAAAAATTTCATAGAGATCCATTAACTTAAACTAAAGTTATTGTCCGGAAACCAATGTGTCTTCGGACGACGACGCAGACGACGACGACATCATACCATTATACGATCCCAAAAAATTATTTGCAGTCGTATAAAAACAGGTGACCATTTGTCTTGGCTCTACATGAGTGGAATGCTGTCCAGATATATGTAATGTTTTCATAATCATCTGCATCAATCAATCTGTGTTATCTTTTAACTTAAACCATTGTCGTGACGTCAGCCTATTCATTTACCGTGGATTCTTTTTCTAGAATCAACGCTTTCTAAATCTGTCGCTGAAATTATATTCACCAAATTATATTCAATTGTTTCCTTTGTGTGCCTAATTTCATTAAGTTTGAATTAGCTAATTTACTGATTTCTGTTCACTAATGGAATTAATTAAAAAAATTACCTTTAATTTTTGTAATTTTTATATGCCTTCACTGGGAATCGAACCCGCCCTTGACATCTGTTATGTGCGACTGACATCAACATATCGACGAAACCTCTCGGCTACCAATTGGTTACAATTTAAATGTCTATTTTATATATATGAATGAACATATGATTTACATCGGTACAACAGACACACAGGGCTTGTACCTTTATATATACATAATAGGCAATCGTATAGTTTAAGTTGGTAGCCGCGAGGTTAGTATGGTTAAGATCAATGAACTAAAGAGT